TTGTCATTTGCTTGATTTTTTAAAATCTTTTTTTTAAATCTTAGTCCTGCTTTTTTACTAGGCTCCTTGACTTTTATTAGTAGTCATTGTAGTTCTTTTGCATTTTCAGCATTAGTGTCATATGCATAGTGCAGGTTATTGATGTTTCTTCCTCACCACACTCATCTTCCAATCCAGCTTTTCTTAATGTATTTTTAATATATAGGTTGAATAGATAAGGGGAGAGCATGCAGCATTGTCTATTTAGAGCCGCTCTGTTTCGCTATATATTCTGTCTGTACCATGGCTCGGCTTTGACTTGTAGATTTGTCTTGAGAACAATGATATTTAAACTTTTGATTTATAAACTCTCTGTGACATTCTAATGCAGTGTCAGTCAGTGTAATCTACTGTGCTTATAAGTTCATGTATCCTCCCTTCCATTTCCAATAGCAAGCCATAATTTCCTTTGATTTTTAAATTGGTAAACCAGGTGTTTGCTTTTCAGGAATACCTATTAGGTATGTCTATACATTAGGTATGGCAAATCTGGCTTTGCCTGGTTTCTAAGTTTTCCATTAATGAAGTCTGATTCATTCCATTCCTATCTCAAGTTCAGAGATTTCTTTTTAAAACAGTTTGTAGTAACATTTGAGTTTCTAATACATGTTTCCTTAAATGTAAGTATAGTTTACCCACGTTATAAATAGAAGAACCATTTTTATTCAGGACTATTTGCAGTAGGACTTCATGTTTTGACGGTCTTTCTATCTGATACTCAACTTCTTGGGTAAATGAAAATTAAATCACAATGGCTTATTTGGAAATAAATAATGTCAGATAGCTTTGTTGTGTACAAAATGCACACATGTTCTCTGTTTAATTGGAGGTGCTGTACAGTATGGATTTTTTTTATTGCTTCAGTCTATAAATTGGGAAAAAAGACAGTACATATACTCTTTGACTTATGATCACAATGAAGACAGTAATTTCAGTTGTAAGTTGTTGTGGTGATTATGTGACCAGCTTGATTTTACAACTGTTTTACAGTGTTGTAAAGTGAGTCACTGTAGTTGTAAAGTGAATCACATGGTTGTTAAGCAAATCACATTTTTGTTAAGCAAATCCATTCTTCTGAATAGGCATTTTTTGCTAAAAGTGGCAAAAAACATTGCAAATCATAGTCAAGTGATTGTATGATGCTGAAAATAGTCCTAAATGCAAGCCAGTTGCTAAGCACTTGAAAGTCAATCACATGACCATGGGAGGGGGCAGCAGTCACAGCTTCAAGTAGCTATTAAAACGTCTGTTGTAATTTTGAATGGTTGTTAAATGTCTAGTTGTAAGTCAAGGACAACCTGTAAAAAAGTGTACAAAAACATGACAGGGATTGCACAAACATCTTAATCCAGCTGAGGCTGGATGCCACCTGTATCTATGGGGAGGATGCTATTTCAGTGGACTGGGCACAGAGAAAACATGCTTCCTCAGTCCCACAACATGGCAACATTTAATTTAGGGGACCTGGAGTACACATTCCCTGAGTGTACTGGGTGGGCAAAAATGATTGGAGATGGCTGTATGGTTGTACAATTCTTTCATATGTAATAGCTTCATTAGATTTTCTATAGTAATTCTACCTGTCAGAAGCTTTTGTCCGCATGAATGCCTATGGTGCCTATTTCCAATTAGCTTGTTAAGAAAACTTGACAATACCCCATTTCTACATTTCTGGCTGGTCAGATGCAGAGGAAAGGCACAAGGTGAAGTTGTAAGGGGAATTTTCCAATTGATTCTATGTCCCTTTGTGCTGCTTTCAACCTGTCAACCTATTTTTTTGGGACATGAGTTTAACACGCTTTTGAACACTGAACCCGTGTTCAGAAATAACCTATTTCAACAAGATGACAGATGACTAAACTTGCTGTTTGATTCTCTTGCTTACACTTGGCCAGTACCAACTCACCATAAAGCCAGTAAGAGTGATTTGGATTTGATTTTCCTGCTGACAGTTGATGCTTCATGAGAAGGTTTCAGCCCTTTGACGTAGACTGGAATAGGAAGCCAAACCTATGCAGTCTAATACTACTTTTATTATAAGATTATAAGAGCAGAATTCTTTAAGTGTGAATGTATTTTTCCCTCTCCCTCCTTTTATCTTTGTTAGATCTAAGGAGAGTCTTGCTTGAGAAGCTTTGTTGGGTTACAGTTTTGTCCCAGACTCAGATTTCCTATATCTGACATTGTCTTAGTATCAGCTCTTCCTTCTTTCCATTATAGAAGGAGAAATGCATAAATTACATTCCTTAACTTCTCCTGCATTATAACTATAAGGACAATATCACCTGACAACCTCTTTATTGAGAAGTTGTTGGAGAATCAAATTCTGTGCCATCTTATCTTGGCAGGTCAAGAATTAGTGGGTTGCACTTCATTGTGAGTATCTGACTGTGCCCTAAGAAGAATCAATACTTTTATTTTCTTCTTTCTACTTTAAGCAAGAACTCCCGGCCATATTTTCAAAGTATTATATGAAGCATACCTACAGTACAATTTTGCAAGCAATATCCTGGAAGGTCAGATGTTAAGTTTGCGGACAGTAAGCAAACAAGAAGAGTAATGATATTTCACACATCAATTTTTACCTTGAACATGCTCTGCATGTATTTTCTTAAGATAGAATATAGTCTTTCTCCAGGTATAATTATTTTCAAAAATAGCAGGATATTGGAACTAGACAAAACTGAATATCAAAGAGAGCTAAGAAGTGTTCATCCATAACTAATAACGCTAAAAAAAGTGCATGTCTGCAGCACTGTAACAAAAAGGACTTGCAGCAGGTGTTTATGTGCAAAAGCACTGAGCGTTTTGGAAACACCTGTGTTTCTGGACTGTTTGCCAGGACAATTTCTTCATTTTTAAGAAAGTAGAGACAACCGTGATTGTAACACAATTGCAGTCTAACACTATTTGTTCCTTATAATAGAATTTTTCAAGCTGTGTTTGAAAATTTGAGGGGGAAAACAAGGAAAAGAAAGGGAAAAAAAAGATAACCTCTGTGCAGCCAATTTTCCAACACTAGAGTTTTGCCTGTTGAACAGAGATCCCAGGAATTTTTTAAACACTCTGTGGCTTGGAAAAGTGCTTTATAAAATCCTATTTATTTGACTCAAGATTTTTTATTCATTCTCAGTGTAACTTGGTTGACATGTCTCCATTATCAGCCATATTTCTGACACCTGAAATTTTGTTTCTCTAGCTTTCTTGCCTGATGAAACATTCTAGCATTTTGAAAGCGTAAGGCAATTTTCTAAAATTTGATCTGAACTCTTTAAGGTCCCACTTGCTTTTATGGGTAGATCTAATGACCAATATGGTCACTGCTGGTTTTTGAAGTAGAACTTCTTTTTCTGACCTAATGTTGTGTCGGATTTGTTTAAGATGACTTAATTTACAATGACTGTTAAACCAACCAACTAAGCCAGTGATGGAGAACCTATGGCACGGGTGCCAGAGGTGGCACTCAGAGCTCTCTCTGTGGGCACGCGCGCCATCGCCCCAGTCCTAGGCCTTCAGCTGGGTTTTGTAAAACCTTTTCGCTTTAGGCCTCCACTGCCGTGTGCAAAAAAAAAAGAGGGGGGTTCAATCAATGTCAATTTCAACTTCTCATGGGAAAAAAAAAGATCTTGCAAAGTTGTAATTAATATTGATTGAATTTTTTAGTCCCACCCAGTCTGCCGTTACCACCACAGCCACACCCACCCAATGGGCCACACCCACCCAATTGGCCACACCCACCCAATGGCACCCGACAATGCATAAGTGGGTTTTGGGTTGCAGTTTGGGCACTTGGTTTCTAAAAGGTTCACCATCACTGGACTAAGCCATAGTTAATTGAAGTATGATTTACTCGATTAACCCTGTGCCCAATTAACCAGACATACTGAACCATAAATTAATCACACTGAGTTCACAGACCACACCAAACTATACAACTATATTTTACCCTGGAATATTACTTGAGTATAAACTAGGTTTGACTGGAGAGAAGTTTCGCTGTGCTTGTTATCCATTTCTCACTTTTCATATTCCATCAATTATAGTAAATATATAGTAAATATAGTACATATTACAACTCCAGTTAATTTTACTCCCAAGTAAGTATAAAAAGCAGGTCTTAAGGGTTCCTCATCTGTAATTATATAATCTCTAGAAATTATCCCCTTTAAGAGAAGCAACTTTTTTGTTGGCAAGGGGAATACAACATAAAGAGCCAGCTCTGAAGACATATGGTACAACGAATGAGCTTTGTACGTTATAATGCATGATAAGAGTATAGGCTCTATTTATACTGCAGCATGTTTAGCACCAGATTGTGAATTCTTAATACCGAAACAATGGCATGTTTTTAACATTTCTGTTCTCTTTGTGATATGTTTTAGGCATTCTGTGTCAAGCAATAAATACTTCTCTTTAGCAGCCTTTCCATAACAGTTCTGGTCCAGCAAATGTTTAGTAACCTGTTCTAAAAGAGTATACAGCACTTTTGATTTGTTTCCATAAAGATGCTTTAGAATGAATGGAAGCACAAATATTACACCTGTCTTGCAACCAGATACTATTTTTGTGCCCCAGAACAGTGACATGCTTTTTTGGAGTTCGAATTTGAAGTATAAGCCTAGTATATACAGCCTGCATTAAACTAGATTCCATTGTTATTCTCAAATAGCTCAGAGAGCCACTGCCAGTCAATGTAGTATATTATATTAAGCATGAAGAGCCAGTAATTTTTAGGTTCTTTTTAATTCAAAACCAAAATTATATATTTAAAGGACTTAAAATTAGATTTGCAAGCTGCCCAACTTTAAACTCTCCATACTTACAATAAATGTTCTTGAGAATATTCTGCTATTGTAATAAATATAAAATAATTGGTGAACTTCCTGGATATAGGTTTGGATACAAATATATAGATAGAAATATGTGTTTATGATTATTTCATGGTTTTTTTTTGTTTGCAGGAATAATCAAACTTGGGAAATGGAATCCTCTTCCATTAACTTATATGACAGATGCACCTGATGCAACAGTAGCTGACATGTTACAAGACGTCTATCATGTTGTGACACTGAAAATTCAATTACAGAGGTGGGCACTTCTGAACATCTGCCCTTTTCTAATCCTGAGTTGTTCTGTCAATCACACCATTGCTACTGAGATTAACACATGCTATCTTCATTAATTTCTGAGCTCATTTTGAAGTGGGAAGCACAATATAAGAAGGGAATTGCAACTGGCAGTTTTTGCTTGGTGATTTTTTAACTAGACATTGGAATACAGACAGATGTAGTCAGTCTTTAAAAAAGATTTTTCCACAGATAGAATAATTCCATAAGGCCCGATTAAATGTTTACACATTCTACCTGAGAAATATATAGTTTAGAAAGGTTTTGAGGTTTTAAGCAGAAATCCAGGAATAAATTTTGGGCTTAAAGGCCCTTGTCCTTATGTTGCAATCTGCTATGGTACAATTGTCGAGAACTTATTCAGCCAGTGATAGGAAGCATAAATATTTGCTCAGTTCTGTATTTAGTTATTTATGTTCAAATCTTCCTAGATTCTAGATAGTAGCTGGAAGAAATTTCTAAACTGTATACAAGAATGACATATAAAATATGTATGTCCTGTTCTTAGTTGTGTTTGGCTTTACAGAGCAACATAGCTTTTGCATGTAAAGAACAGCTATGTTTGCATGCAATACTTTCCATCTGTCTATTCTCTTGTTCTCTGTCTTTGCAGTTGTTCAAAGCTAGAAGATTTGCCAGCAGAACAGTGGAACCATGCCACAGTCCGCAATGCCTTAAAGGAATTGCTAAAAGAGATGAATCAGAGCACGTTAGCCAAAGAATGCCCTCTCTCCCAGGTCAGTGCCTCTATTGGTAGTAGAGGAACTATATCCCATAAAATGTAATATAGTATGAAAGAATAAAAGTAGAAAAAAAAATCTCTGCAACTATAGTTTTCCTGTGAGTGCAAGATTTTAGTATTATATTATAGAAGTATTATAGAAGAATGACAAGATAAGCTGAAAATTTGAGAGGGATACCATCATGTTTATGATGCCTGTTCTGCATTTTACTTTTCTTTCTCTTTTTTATTACAGTATATATTCAGTCTGGATGCACATGCCTCTATTAGGTCAAGTTATCAATATTGAGCATATTCCAAGATACAAAAACCCTTCTCTTCCAAGCACCCAAAAATGTTTATAAATCAAAATGCAATTCCTGGTATATTTTTGCTTATATGTCTTGATTTAGCACACTGATACACAAAGCACTATTATTGCAATGATAAAAAGTTCATTTGTCAGCATTTTAACAATTAGCAAAAAAGGTATTTTGAGATACCTTTTTTATATCTCTTACTAAATATTGTGCAAAATTTTTGAGGAATGTTCTTACATTTTTTGATGTTTTCTTTAGAATGAAATGTTCTTGAGTAGGACTATGCAAAGCATTTGAAGGAGATGCTTCACAATACATATTAGTATGAATGAAACACCGCTCTTCAAATGTGCAAGGTTTATGCTTCAAAAGCTGTTCTCAGTTATCTATGTTTGCACAAACAATATTTGCAAAGAACCAACTATAAAGTGAAATGATCATGTATACACATGCGTATGAGATGACAAGGAACTCTTTTCTAGGAGTTGTGCAAAAGATACAACTTCTGTAAGAAGTCTGAAAGAAATGCTTCATACACACTGATGTATGTTTTCAAATATTTCTTTCAAATGCTTTGCACAATTCTATTGTTAACCAATTTAGGATTGCTTAGGCAAGTTCTTTTCAAACAATGGGCCTTGTAGTATTTCAGAATAAAGTGTTTACTTATTTTTTTTCTGTTTCCAAGGGCTTTTTCCTTTCATTGGATCAACAGCACATCATATCCTAGAGACACATTCCCTTTCTATTTAATATATTCAGTTCAAGTGCATATTTATTTAATCAAGTTGTCTATGGTCCATTAAAACATTACAAACAAAAAATACACATTGTGTTTCTGAGGACAGATGAGGACAGATTTATATTGTTGGCAGTAGCAATAGACAATAACATAAGAACAATGTAGAATCCCTCCAAAAGTTCTTCTAGTCCAGCATTCTATATAACAGTATTCAACTGGGAACATTTGGACAGCCTATAAGTATAGACAGCAGAGCAATAGCCATTTTGCACTGTAAACATTCTAACAATTGATAATCGGGAACTAATATACAGTCATCAAGACTGGCAGCCATTGATAATAGGTCTTCCATTAATTTATCTAGTCTTTCCCTAAAGTTGTATAAATCACCATCTCAGAAAATAGCAAAATTTAATTTTAATTTTAATTTAAGTATGTGTTGAATAAAAAGTATCTTTTATTCCTAATTCCTTTGTTTTTATTTCACTGGATGACCCAACATTTTAACACAAAAGAAACTTCTCTTGTTTGCATTTTCCATACTTAGCACAGTTTTATGTACCTGTAGTTTCTCCTCTTACCTGCCTTTGCTCTAAACCATAGTTTCAATTTGGTTGTTTCCAGATCTGTGGACCTCAACTCCAAAATTTTTTGCATTAGTTTGGCTGTTACTGAGAATTTTGGGAATTCATTCCCACATATGGAAGTTGCTTAGGTCAAAATACTGATAAACATTCTCTCTCTCTTAGTAGTGCTATTGTAACCCACCAATGATTTCAGTTGTTCTTTTCTTTAGTTTGACTAAATGTGCGATATCCTTGTTATAGTGATTACAGTGGCTGTGACTGATCAACATATGACATGTTATTCTAGATGCAATCACAAAAAAATTACATAAAAACATTATTTACAGTTTTATCTCCAGTTCTCTCTGAATTATTTCAAATTGTGTCTTTTTTTGGGCAGTTGCACTTTGGACATCCATTTTCAAAATTAACTTTTTGTTCTTAATTTTTAAATTATACAAAAAGCAAAATATAATTTCTTGAAATTGTAATGGGAAGTTTGAACAATATAAATTTATAGGAAGTTTAATTTTATTGTTTTTATTCTGTGGTAAAATTTGAATTAAAATAGTTTCACTTGCCCCCCAAAAAGTTTATATTTGGCATAGTGAAGTAAGTTGAAAGATTAAAAGTTAAAATTGGAATTTTAAATGGTGTGAATCTTCATATCTGTCTGGAGACTGCTTTTTAATTCTCATATTAAATTTGTACATTCTTGCTGTCTTCATTAAGGTTATCAAACAACACTGCTCCAGAAACAAAATATTTGAAAAATATATTGATCTATTGAAACCTTTGAACCAAGCTAGTTATTTGCTTTATCAATCAGTAAAGCTTCATATTTGATTACTCGAGCATTTTTTGCTACATTTTTTAATGAAAACTTTCTGAAATTTGATTTTTATGTCATTTTTTAACACAATACTTTTAAAATGTGTTTGAAAGAATGAATGTTACTCATTAGTTAATAACTATAGTTATATAATCATATATGTGTAATCATTCACTTGTTATAAAACATGCAGTTCTCTGTTTTTTACAAGATCTCTGTCAAACAGATAATAATTATTTTTTATTATCAGTTCTTTACAGAACTTAATGTTCTTTTAGGCAAACCTTTGCTAAAAAAAGGGTTTTTAATATATGATTTAATTTGTTTTTCGCTTAACAAAAATGAGGCAGACCTTCAAGGAAAATTTATAATTCAATTAGTTATCAAATTCATACTTTAAATACAAAAGATTCACTGTTTAATCCTAGAATCTATATGGAGGGATAGGAAGAGTCCTGTCTAAATTCAAAAGTCATTGCACATCTATGTTAACGGTAGTAAAGTAAATGAGAAAAAATCAGAAAGAACCTAGTAGCAGGTTTGCTAACTATCACATTTTATTAAAAGGCATAAGGATTCATTAGCTCAATTCAGAAGCTAAGACATTTTCTGTGTCTGTTCTGTATCTGCTGGATGTGCAGTTCCTCATTAGTGGAAAGGCTCTCTTCATCTTGGTTCTTGGGATTTCCCTGTCCTGCTGAAATAAAATGCTGTGACATCGAGCTGCCATTCCACCATTGCAGCAAAAGAAGAATATGGGAAAGGATCAGTTACTACTTAGCTTCTGTATTTACTACTTCCCCAGAGATAGTGCTGGCTAGCTGAAAAATAGATGAAAATCTAGCAGAGAACTGCCCAGCAGGATGAAGATAGCAGTCTAGGAGGCAAAACTGGCAGCCATTTAGTCATACCCACTGAGTTTTTGTGCAAAGCATACCAATTTGCTATACTTCTAAAGGATGCCTCTGATAAACATACTCTAAATCTCATGGTTGGGATTTTATTACATAATATTAAAAGATGCCATTCTGCCATGCGTGGAACCTATTTTAGTATTCTTAAATGGTTATAATGTGTTAAATTATTTTTAAAATAATAATTTTTCAAATAATTTGTTTTGTTTGCTCTAATATAAATTTTGAGATATGTGAATAGATATCATGCAAAATAATTCGATAATTTGATTATCCAGAACTCTGAGATTGGTTTTACAATATTTTGATTTACCATGAAATCCTAAAGAATTTCAGATATTAGGCATATCTGTATTCTTACATAAATATGATATTTTAATACAAACCTGATTTTTACTGAATATACCATAGTCATATATTTTCTTTTTTCAAACTTAGTACATTCTTTTTCAACTGTGATTATGCACAATTATGTTGAAGAACCTCTACTGCCTCAAGGGTAGAATGAGGAGATTATAGTTACAGGTAGCTCTGTAATTGTAACAACCATTCATTCAGTGATAATTCAACGTTATGATTGTGCTGAACAAGGAAACCAATGACTAATTCTTATCATTTTTGCTGCTGCAGTGTACCCACAGACCCATGATCACAATTCTGGTGCCTGCCAACCAGTTCATAATTATGATTGTTGCAATGTCCCATAGTCATGTGTTTGTCATTTGCTACCTTCATTGCCAATTTCTGATAAGCAAAATCAATAGGGAAGCTGGCAGTAGTCAGTGGTGAGTGTGTGGTGTCATGCCTAACTACTCTGTGGGATTTGCTTAATGAAGGCACATTTTGAATGTTGCAACTGCCATCAGAAGTCAGCATGGTCCCATGACAACATACTTTGCAACCATATTGCTTAGCAACAGAGTTGCCGGTCCCAGTTACCATTGTTAAGCAAAGACTAGCTGTTCTCTGATACTCTCTGACAATGTCCATTTTTGTTTTAAATAAAACTTTATAAAACTGTGTACCAAAGCAGTAGGATCAACATGTTCCCAATAAAAATGGCACATGTCTTCTCTCAATTTGTTTCAATTTGTCATACACAAGGCACAATGTGTCAATAAAGGTGAGACTATGATATATCTTTATTGGCAGGGAAGAAGAGGAAGAAGAGAAGGACATAATCTTTTCAGCAAATGAAGTAATATCTTAAATATTCAGGGCTTTAGCACTGTTATATTAGTTCTCAAAGATTTTCCAAAGAGCTCAATGACAAGTATTGAGAAAGAAAAAAAACAGATAGATAGATAGATAGATAGATAGATAGATAGATAGATAGATAGATAGATAGATAGATAGATCGATCATAGGTGGAATAATAGCTGTTTAATAGTAGTACTGTTTATTCTGTTTTTGTTTGGTTTAGTTTACTTTAGTAATTATATATCCGCTTACCTCCAATTTCTTTGTTGTAGCTCACATCATGCAAAAATTTGAATATTTTAGATAAGCTGCCTGTTATCATTACTTGACTATTTTTTAACAAAATCCCTTTTCCCAAATCAGTTTTAAGAAAATATTGTGCCAAATGTGAAATATCATTACAGCCCTCTTGTGATTAATGTATTATTGACAGCAGCAAATTACAAAATTGTCTCCTAGGAAAGACTGCAGAGTAAATGCTGCTGTTTATTAGTGTGCTTGCAGTGCATCAAATATTCCTCTGTAGAGGAATAAAAGGCAGTATCACAGGGAGTTTTTTCTTTACTTTTTGTTCGAATGCATAATTTCATTTTCTTTACAGATACTGATTCAGGGTGCCATTAAAAAGGAAGTGTGATCATATGGTTTAACTTAAAATTCCACTGATTTTTCTTGGTTTATTCGCCTTTTACATGTTGTTGATAAAGGAAAAATAGCTGAAAATGGTTTCTTAGAAGAATGATATTATAAAATATATCTTTAAGCTAAACATCCTAAAAATTACTGATAAATTATCTTCTAGATATTTTTCTTTCCTATGTCAAGTGACTTTGTAATAGTTTTTCTACATTTTGAAGAAATTTGTAAGTTTATGTTCTTGGCTTGAAAATTATTTAGGTCTGTTTTATAATTCATAACATTTATTCCACTTCCAGCCTTCATACAGGTTTTAATTTCAGCTATTATAGGTTCATAATCAGACTATATCTGGATCAGTTTCTGATACACTGTATATACTTTTCAGGAAATGTATATACATTTGAGAGATTTGTAAACATATACTCTCACTTGTTTATATGCACTGAACATTTTTAAAAAGTTTTTAAGTAGGAATTCATTGGTAAAATAACAGGGCATGAAGATCAAGGCTTCAATGTTCATTACAATGATTAAATAGTATTATTACAACATTAAGACATGAAGGTTAGAGAACTTTTTTTCTCATTTGCTATGACTAAATTGTATGTAATAACTCACAAAATAGAAGGCAGATGAGTCAAATTTTACTGTTTAATTAAATTAAACAAAATAATATCAGTAAACATTATAAGCCTTCTAAATTTTATAAGCTTCATTAACCAAACTTTTTTTTTCTACTTTGGAAGTCAATCAGATTTTAGTTACTGGGTCATAGATCAAGGAAATTGGAATGAAAAGATTCGTTACTCTATTAAACTCATTTTACTATTAAAGCTATTTATCACCTGCTGTATCTGGGAAAAGAGGAAGATAGGCTAACAAATATTTATGTCACCGTTGTTATGTTGTATTTCAAGTTCACTCTGAAATGATTAAGTCTTGACAGTGGAGAATAAATTGGAAACAACTGAGTGTAGAAATCAGTAAGATAATGATAGTTATATAATGAGGTTATAGTGGACAATGCTAACCTTGTAGTCAAACATTATAGTCATTTTAGCTTACCAATAAATAATGAAAATAATTGTTTTTATCATAGGAGGGCCTACTTTTCCACTTTACTCCAGTTAGGCAGACTTCCAGTTGATGGTATGGGCAAATTAGCAGGATTCTTATTTAAAGTTTCAGGAGTGAAATATATGAAACTAAAACTGATAAAGTGTTTGTCAGTTAAAAGGTTTTTTTTTTTAAAAAAAAATATTTATTGCAAGTCTGATGAGTCAAGTTTTCACGCATCAAATCATGTATTGTCTACTTTGGTTTAGTATTAGTAATGATTTCAGTCATCACTAAACAAACTTACCAGCATAATTCATATATTAACATTACATGTTTGAAACCTGTTATTAGCAAGCTTTTGTTGATTTTATAAACATTGTTCAGATGACCATGAACAATGAGACATAGAATTGCATAATCCTATTTTACTTATGCTCTGATTTGTTTTCCAGAGGAGCAAAGGAAGGGACGGATAGTTTTCATTTTCATTTAAAACTTTAGTTCCTCTTGGCATCTGTATCAAAGGCTTGGATTTGTTAAATTAACAAATTGGAATAATGAAACCAAAGTTCGGTACAGGTTTATTACATTTTGTTGTCATTTAATAAAGGCAGAACTACAGTTTGTTCTAAAATGAAAATCAGTACTTTCTCTCTCCTCATACCTGTATATGAATAAATAAGAGGAAAGTAGGAAATGAACTCCAACTTGCTAGAGCGTCTCCCATCTTCTAAACCATAATTTAAGTCAGGAGTGGAGAACATGTGTTTGTCTAGATACTATTGAAGTACAACTATCATTATTTCTCATCACTGTCCATGTCTCTAGGACTGCTGGGAATTGTAGTTCAGCCATCCCTGGATAAGACAACTTCCGTGCTCTTGGTCTAGTTAGGGTTTGGCAACTTGTAAACTGTGTGACAAGAGTCAGCACTCTCCCATGCTGGCTGCACTGTAAGGGGTTTTTTCGTGTTCATTTGTGGTTTGGAGGAACTGAAGGGGTGAAATAGATCCATTAAGCTTGCAGAAGCTTAAGACAGACATGGCAATCCTTAAAATCTTGAACATCCTCAGTTGATCCATATTGTCTTTTATTTATGGGAGGAGGGCTAAAGTGCAAAATGAATGCCTGAAAAAAAAGGTATATAAAATACAATATATTTTTTCAGACAAGTTCTAATAACAGTTTAGAAGGGGTACCTTTTGATTGCTCCATCAAATACATACTGTCCTTTCAAGGAATGTAATTATACTTTCTTTCTTCAGCGTTGCACACTTTCTTCTCTTCCGCTCCCTTTTTCTCCAAATCCTGTTAATGTGTGTACCATAAGTAACAGGGTCAGCAGGCACAATTCCACCTCCCCCCCATGTCTATATTTATTATACAAGCTTGGATGAGTTTGTGAACATGTCACAGTCTTAGAAAAACCCACCTCATGTTATTGCTGGGAAATCTTAAATTTGACATAGTTTAGAAATGATATAGGACATTTTACCACCAGTTATAAACATTAGTTATAAACTGAATATTTTTCCATTTATATTCTCTGCTATGCATAAAGTCTTATTTTTAACTCTAGATAGGTTTGATTCCCAGGCTAAATGTGCAACAATTATGTTACAGTATTTTGATTTTTAGAATCTTGAATCAAAATTTCAGGGTAGAGAGTGAAAGAAACAATAAGCTAAATTGTTGTGATCTTATACCATTCCATGGCTGTAGAAATGCTCCTTGGAAGATGGTAATATACAGGATGAAGTAAAGATGTTTTTTCCCATCCTGTACATTTTTTTTTGAAGGGAGAGTGTTCACAGTTGTACTGAATCTAAGCGTTAAATTGAGCATTAAGAAAATCAAGAAATCCAGGTAGTTCAAATGAATATAAATTGCAAGCTTAAGCTCTCTACAAGAATCTGAACTATTAATGGTTAAAGCAAATTGGCGGTAGATAAGAGTCAATGGAATTCAAGGTGGACTGGACTTAGATCTCTTGTGGGTGCGAAGGGACTGATGGGACAGAAGAGTCTGATGATGCGCTTGAACCCTGATCATCTCCTATGTTAAGACTGGAGAAAACCCATTTTTTTTTAAAAAAAAAAACTTTTAAAAGGTGCCATCGCAACACGCTCTAAGGGTAAATAAATGAGAAGTTGTTGAAAATCTCAATATCTTTTTTTTTTTTTTACAAATGAACACTTGAATCAGGACCATGGTACATGAAAACAGAAGTCAGGCATTTCTTTTTATGCTCTTGTATTAGTTAAGCTGACTTGAAACAATATAGAATATATCATATAAATAATCAAATCAAAATAACTCCTGAACTGTTATTTCTCTTGATTTGTGAAATTTAATTAAAATGAATAAAAATTACTACAAGCAAAGAAGCAAGAACTGTTGGGGATTTCCCTTCCCCCAGATGCTTTTTGCAGTTCTGCATTTGCAGAACTTTCATAATATATTTATATGATACTCTTTAAAACCACTTGTTTTGTTAACCTTTTTGAGTATCCTACTCCAAAATGCATACGTTACCTTCTGAAACTAAGCTCCATAAGGAGTAAGGAATAGTATAATTAATTACAAAAATATTCTGAATCAGAACGCAGCAGCAAAAAGAAGAGCTAAATTTATCATAGCATATCTTGTGCAATTTAATTCAAAGTATGTGCTAGGTCAGGGATGTCAAACTGCCGGCCTGCGGGCCGGTTTCATCATACCGAAGTCGCACCCACCCCATTGCCAGCAATGGTGAAAAAGCTCCAATATGTCACGCAACATCACGTGACGTCGTGAGTTTGACATGCCTGTGCTAGGTGATAAAAAAGATTTGGCCATTAAAGTCTATTTTCAGGGGTTAAAAATAAAAGTACAAACTTTAAATACAAGTTTTTAGATAGACATGCTTAATTTGACATGCAATATTTTTAGTTTCTTCTGCTTTGAATAGTATAGCAATTTATTTCCTATATGAATTTTCACAAAAGGATTAAATACATGTTTCTATTAATATTATTTAAATATTATTTATTTAATATATTTGCGTAGCTATTGTTCTGTAGCAAGTAGCACAAATATTCCCAGATTCCTGGCTGTGTGGTCCCTGTTGCAGTTGGAAGCAGAATAGAAACATCTGAAAACCATTATTTGGATTATACATGCTGGAGTATCTAATCTTACCTTTAGGATCCGGTTCCTAAATCACAGTTCTTCTCACCCTTTATATTCCCAATGTGACACAGCTTCTAATGTACTTGAAGCATAAGGATTCTTTTGATAATACCCAGTATAAATTAAAGTGACAACTGGGATAAACTGGAGTCATATGGATTTGACACAAAATTAGTAGGAAAAGCAAATTTCTCCAGTTATATAAAAGGTAAGATGAAGCTAGTCTTAGGATCTATACAATAGTTTTTCTACATGAATACATTTTTATTGTTTTGTCACTTAAGAATGAATGAATTATACATTTTCAACTACATTACTTTCTTTTGGAATAATTTTGATTATTTTCTGTTTAGAACTTATTTATTTCTCCTTTTTCTGGTTTCAGAGTATGATATCATCCATTGTAAATAGCACATATTATGCAAATGTGTCAGCTACTAAGTGCCAGGAATTTGGAAGATGGTATAAAAAGTACAAGAAGATTAAAGGTAAATTGATTTTAATTATCATTCAATGTCAAATCTTTTAACAGATCATGAATACTTGAAATTTGTTATTCTAAAATGATCAAGAGGTATTTACAAAGACTAGTTTATATACAGTATCATCAATATTTTTCCAGATAAAAAAGATCTACTTTGGTTGAAGCAATTTCTGTATGATCTTCAACAATTTTTATAAGTATTATATCTCAAGGTAAATAAAGGAATATTTCAAAAGTGTTTTTATATATGCACAGTGAAAATATGATCAAATGAGTTAAATAGCTTCAAGGCCGTTTATAGATGATCATTACTTGTTGTAAGACAAAAAGGGAGTGTTCTTACTAGATTGGGCTGTGGTTTAAAAGCACCTTCAAACATTAAAAAGCTCTTCCTGTAGTCACAGAATTGCCATTGCAATCACCAAATATTTCTATCATATTATGGGCTTCTACTTCCTTTCTTTATTCAGTTTTAAAGCTTTTCTTGTTCTTCCACCCCTCACCATTTTTTAAAGTAAGTGTAGAGTTAATTGTTAAAAATAGAAGAGCAGAATAAGATCTTGATTTCAATTAAGAGGTCAAGGATCTAAGCCCAAAGAGTTTTCTGGATAACTGTGTGCATGCTGCTAACAAGAATTTGAGTTTAGAACTCATTGGAAATGTGTGTGCATGTATATGTAGCATGAGGCAGAATGAAAGGTTACAGTCTGTGTGAAATAAACACAAGCTGCTTTAACATGGTTCAAATAGTGTTGATTCTTCAGCTACAACAAATGGGAGGAAAACAGCAATGAAAAAATTACTAAAGGTATATTTATTGAAAAATAAACAGAACCAAACTTTATCATCATCATCATCAGAAAGAGCTTTTGTTATATTTCGCTTTCATATTATCTCAATTTCCGTCATATAGTTTTTATAAATGAGAATTTACTTTATATGTAAGATGAAAGGTTCAATTTCAGAAACTAGAATATTCGTATGAATTTAAAAATAAGGGTTGAGTTACTCTGAATCTGGTCAGCAAGATCAGCCATCATCCAAGGTCAATCCAATTGAAACAACCACTGTTGTACACATACATCTTAATTTTTTGTTACATTAAACTAATTGTAAAAAAGCTATTCTAATTTAATATCGCAAATGGAAAATAACGAAGAGCTTCAAAATCATTTTATTGGCATTTCAGTTGAACATAATCTGCTCTGTGAAATGTGTTTCTGATTTATCCACTAATGTCTCTTTTAATAAAGCAGTGGGAACTAACTGGTTCCTTCTTAATCAAAACCATGATTTCCTAAACATAAGCTATGAGATTCTGTTACAAGTTGCCACATACAGATCTCTTTGGTCAATCCTTTCCCCTCCTATTCTGTTGAACTAAACAAACAGTAAAATAATTATACATACAGAAAGATCAAAGTAAATATGACTAATGCATAGCAAAAATTTTAAAAACTTTCTGAAAGAAAAAAAGCATTAGGTTGCAGAACATATATTTAATGCTTAAACAAATATGAGAAACTGAACAATCAATAATTTGATATCATTAGCAACAGATGTAAAAGTTATATGCAAAGAGCAGTTGAAATAAACATGCTCAGGTTATAGTTGTGGAATCCATTAGATATTCAACATTGCTATTATGCTTAGCTCATATCAACTTATGTCTTTATATCAACCAGGCTTGAATTTTGTATTGGTGAGATCCACATCTATTAACATACAAAATTCTGAAAATTGATTGCAGTCCATTAAAACTGATACTAGAAAAAAATCATATATACTGTATCATTTTTGGAATTATTTGCTCCCTTCCTGAAAAATAGGAACTGTTTTCAGCTATAACTGTCCTATCGTTTTACTTTCCTTTGTCCTTTCATAATTTACATTTGAAATTTTATATTGTATATTTATAATAAATATTTATCTTAGCAATTCATAGAAATTTGTAATAATAATTATGATTACAACAATTACAAATAAACATAGTAAGAATAATAGCAGTGAAATTCTTACGCTGTTTGCACCGTATGCAAGGCAGAGGAGTGTATATAGAAAAAATTAAATATGCAGTCTTACTCATGTAGGTTTTCATAACACTGATCAATTTTACCATTGTTGGGAAGCACCCAGCCTGGCAGGGAGGAGGGATCAAGCGCAGAATTAGCCTGGAGTCACTATGCAACTGCAAAAGGGCTAGGACTGATCTCTCCCCCTCCTGATTTCCTTGGAGCTTTATCTAATTCAGTGGTTCTCAACCTTCCTAATGCCGCGATCCTTTAATACAGTTCCTCATGTTGTAGTGACCCCCAACCCCCCATCCAGCTGGCCGAGGGGGGGTATCAAAAACTTGACCCAAAAAAAGGAAAAGGGAAAGTATAGGTAGTCCTTGACTTATAACAATTCGCTTAGTGACTGTTAGAAGTTACAGCAGCACTGGAAAAGCAAATTAATGATCATTTTTCACACTTATGATTGTTGCAGCATTCCCAGGGTCATGTGATTTACATTCGGATGTTTGACAACTGATTCATACTTATGACATTAACAATGTCCCAGGGTCACGTGATCAATGGCCAGGGGGCATGGCCAGCTGATCACTCAGGTTGCAGAGTGCCTGTGGGGGGGAATCTGTGGGTCTCTGGGATGGGACTGGGGTGGGTGCCTGCCTTCCTTCCCTCCCCTTGTCCCTTCCTTCCTTCTTTTCTTCCTTTCCTTCACCTCCCTTAGTCTCTTCCTCCTTCCCTCCCTCTCTCCCATTGTCCCTTCCTTCCTTCCTTTCCTTCACCTTAGTCTCTTCCTCCTTCCCACCCTCTCCCATTGTCCTTTCCTTCCTTCCTTCCTTCCTTCCTTCCTTCCTTCCTTCCTTCCTTCCTTGCCTTTCCTTCCCCTCCCTTAGTCTCTTCCTCCTTCCCTCCCTCTCTCCCATTGTCCCTTCCTTCCTTCCTTTCCTTCCTCTCCCTTAGTCTCTTCCTCCTTCCCTCCCTCTCCCATTGTCCCTTCCTTCCTTCCTTCCTTCCTTCCTTCCTTCCTTTCCTTTCCTTTCCTTTCCTTTCCTTTCCTTCCCCTCGCTTAGTCTCTTCCTCCTTCCCTCCCTTCTTTCCTTCTTTCCTTCCTTTCCTTCCCCTCCCTCTTAGTCTCTTCCTCCTTCCCTCCCTCTCTCCCCTCCTTCCTTCCTTCCTTCCCTCCCTTCCATTGTTCCTTACTTCCATTCCTCTTCATCCCTTCCTTCCTCCCCCCCCCCGTGCCCAGGAAGGGACAAGGGGAGGGGGATAGGCTGCCAGCATGGCTGGGGGCTTTGCTGCCGGCAAACCTGCCTTTGCACAGGCAGAGACAGGAGAGCTCTGCACAGCTCACTTGCTCAGCTTTGCTGAAAGACGTGCCGCTTGCTAAGTTTGCAAAAGCTCCAGGGTCAACGCCGGGCTACAGCTGATTTGCGCTTCTGCTAAATTAGCAAGCGGCTTGTTTTCTATCAAAGCTCGAGCAAGTTTGCTAGGCAGGAGCCAAGGAGAGCAGCTACAGCTGCAGAAGCGCAGATCAGCTGTAGAGGCTCGCCCCGACAAGAGGGAAGGAAGGAAAGAAGGATGGAAGGGACAAGGGGGAGAGGGAGGGAAGGAAGGACAAAAAGGGAGGTGAAGGAAAGGAGGGAAGGAAGGGACAATGGGAGAGGGAGGGAAGGAGGAAGAGACCAAGAGGGAGGGAAGGAAAGGAAGTTCCAGCCAGGAGAAGCTTGCCAGCCCGGCTGCCGAGAAACAGAAGAGCACAAAGCCAAGGAGAAGAAGCTGGCAGTTTCCTCCCAAAGGGGGCTTCTTTTCTCCACCCCTTCCCTGGGTTTGTGGGGATTTCTCATCACCAGCGCTGGCAGGTGCTGCTTAGAGCCTGCCACGAGCTTTCTCACCTCCTTTGCTTCTCCCCCCTGCTTTCGTGAGGATTGTGGCGCCCTTGGGAAGCCGATCAAAGCTTAGGAGAGGAGGAGGAGTCCCTTCCTCCTTCCCTCCCTCTCTCCCTGTCAAGCCCCGGCGGGCTCAACATGAACGGGAGGAGAGGAGACGAGGACGGGTAGGGTGGCAAAGGAGACCTGCAGCCTTCACCAGACCTCCCGGCTGAAGTGCAAGTTCGGGGGTCGCCAGCTGACAGGCGCAGGAGTTGGGTGCTGCAGCGGCCTCCCCTTCGCTGACCTGCGTGCACGAGAAGAAGTCAATCCAGTTGCTGCACAATGAGTCTCTGGGGAGGGCGGGGCCTTGCTCTGCACCTGCGCTCTTCATGCGCCCCCTGCAGGGCACATTTGGTAGAGTTCGTGCAGACTGCCGCCAAGCAGCATATTTTCCTGAAACAAGTGAGGTGGAGCAGAGGGGGGAGGGAGAGAAGGCGGTTGACAAGCCCTGCCTAAGACCATCCGAAATATGTGTTTTCCGATGGTCTTAGGCGACCCCTTTGAAAGGCTCGTGCGACCCACAAAAGGGTCGCGACCCACAGGTTGAGAACTGCTGATCTAATTGTTGCTAAAAGTAGGTTGCGAGACTGGGATGATTCCTATATTATAGGCGGAGCATAATAAAATAGTTGTTTTGAGCTCTCCACGTGTAGGTCTGGCTGTTTGCACTTGACAACCACAAACCAATTGAAACTGCACTTCAAGCGATGAAATCAATACAGATCCACCAATATGTGTTCTGTAAATTGCTTGTATGAGGTGTGCCATAATTTTTTGCTACCATGGATACATGAAATTCAGCAAAATATTGCTTTATTTTAAAATGTAGCTGATCAAATTTAGTATATCATTGAGGTATATTCACAATAATATTTTAATTAACTTGAGAGGCACTCAAGTGGCTAGGGGTGGATGGTGAAAAGTTTATATGTTATCAGTTCATATCATGTTGATGTTTTCTATAATTTATTTATTAAACAAATTATATGGCTTTCCATCTCATGGAAAGTAACTTTGGGTGCTGTACCACAATAATTGTTTTATTATATATAGTATCTAAAATATTTGTGCCACTTTTTGTATCCTTTGTTTTGCCTTTGTTTAGTAAAACAGAACAAAGTGAAAAAAAACAATGAAAGAGAAAAGAAGAAAAACAATATAACAATATAAGAGCCTTTTCAACAAGTAAAATATATATTAATTTTATAGAAAATATTTTCAGTGAAGGATGACACTATATTAAATCTTTATTATGCTCACAACTAAAATAAAGCATATTTCATTTGATAATCCACACATAATCCAAGTCTGTAAGCAACTCCTTCTGATATTTCAAACAGCATAACTTTTCTCTTTCTGTATTTTATAAATTTTGAAAGCTTATGTAAATGAGGTCCATTGCTTATAATAATAAGGACTTAACTGGTACAGGCTGTAAAAAGCCAGACGACTACTAGATAGCAGCAAAGAACTTTTCCTGTCACTGGTGCTATTTAGTAGTTATCTGGATTTTTGAAGCAAAGATCTGATAGTCCCAATAGTTCTAATTGTGATCTGTTTATAAAATTCTATACAGTAGGCTGTATTCAACACTGTGAAATGGAGCTTCTGCTATACATCCTTTTGGGGTATGTGGAAAAGAAATGAAAATGAATTCTGCCAGTATTTCTTTCAAAAGACAATGCAATAAGACTTGCTTCCAAGGACATTTGTACAAGATGCAAATTTAGTGGATAGCTTAATAAAATGACTAAGAATGTTATTATACAGTACCTATCATTTCTAGAATCCTTTAATAAAAACTTCATTGCTGAAGAACTTGTTTTTTTCCCATTGTCTATAAGTAATTTTTCCTCCTCTGATGGTGGTATTTATTTATTTTCAAGTCAGTTATGATTCTTGGCAACTGCCAGGACAATTCCTTGCAGTTTTCTTGGCCAGATTTCAGAACTGGTTTCCCAGTTCTGCTTACTTTCCTAGGAGTGTGAGAGAGTGACTGAGTCCCCAAGGTCACTCAATTGATTATATGCCTAAGGAGAACTAGAACTCTTGGTCTCCTGGATCCTAGCCTGGTGCCTTAACCACTACACTGGTTCTCCATGGCAATATCAATAGGCTTTAGAAAATAATTGTAATCCTGAATTATTGGCGATCAATGTTTTACTAGGCAACTCTATTTGTCGTGGCAACCAGTTCTTGAGTTCCCATTAGGGGGTGGCTGTTACGTTCATATTCTGTAAACTTGACCATTTTTTATATAGAATGCTGGATTAGGTGAGTCTTGGATGTGATTCAGGACTTGATCTTGTGTTCTTAAAAAAATTACAACTACTTTCTGAAGTGATTTCATATTAATGTACTAATGTGAAAAGTTAACAGAAGTTGTATAGTAGGTATAGCGATCTTCATATTTGTGCTAGGTAATAAGATTTACTGGAAAATTAGTTGACTGATGTGTACTATTTTGAAAATTGATTTTCAGTGTATTTGCAGGAAATCATTTTAGGAAGCATTTCACGACTGCCAAATACTATAGTGGAACTGCCTTTTTGGGCACACAAATCGCAGATGTGCAAATAGTTTTCCTGGTCAGAGACCAGACAGTAAATAACACTGATAGATGGTTGGGGTAAACATGAAGTTAAGTGTTGACTGGAAATGAGATTTCTGAAATTACCTCTTTTCTCATAATTGGGTTAAGTGGATTTTGATGAAAAGAAATAAGTAATTAAGATAATCATAGTTTTTAAATGAATTACCCACATGAAAAGCACCTCCCATGCTCTAGAATAGTTCTAGGAAGTCAAGACTGGTAATTAGAGAGTCGCTTGACAGTGAGAGGGGCAGCATATAAATTTAATAATAAATAAAATAAATTATACTGTGTATCTTTATCTACGTACTTCCTCCTAGAGGCTAGTAATGGTATTATACTTTTGTTTTTCTCGTGTCATGAAAACTAGCTACAGGTATACAACATGTAATGTATATTTGCTTTTCCTGTTACTGCTATTCAGTATTGTTTAGCGATGACAATATTAATGTTATTTTTATAGGATTATATAGACAATATCAGAAATTGAGTTTGTATAGAAGCTTGGCAATAACACCACATTTATTTAGAATTTTTCAAAACATTAGGTTTTCATTATCACTTGAATAGGTACTTATTTTTTTTAAAAAAATAAGAATATATTGGTGGTGGGGCAGAAGGGAAGAAGAGCCATAGTTTATGATTTTGTCCTGCTATAACCCATTTTGAGTTGATCAGGCTATGCAAAGCAAAAATAAAACAAAATAAATGTAAAGTTTAAATGGGTTAAAATTTATAAATAGATGCAAATGTTTGCTTCCTGAATTTGCTGTTGAAAGAAGACAAAGTATTTTAAATATTCTATAGTATTTTATTGATACTTGATAAATATTTCAAAACTGAATATCCACAATTCTTTGAAGATTTACGGAACTGCTTAGGAATGGTATATGTGAAGGGGTTATTTAAGAGAATCTCTTATAACGTTTATTTTTTAATTTTTTTATTTGATTTTGAGTCTGCCTGACTCCTTAATACTCTGAGTGGCTTACAGTTAAAAACAGTAGTGAAGTAGTGAATGTGCATTGGAGTTCTGAAAAAAATAGGGTGTATATCTCATAACTCATTTGGGGGTATGAATTTGACCCTGTGGTCTGCTGAAGGGACATAGTGTTTATACAGCAGTGATTTGGCTGCACATATGTCATGGGAGAAAGAATACCAGTGATTTCAAGTGTTTCAAGTGTTTACAAAGACATGATATGGGAATTGATGATATTATAAACAACAACAAATAAAAAGGCAAGACAGTATCAGCCATGCATTTTTTTTCTGTATATAGTTTTACACACACACACACACACACAAATGAGTTTATGGAATGGGAAAACTAAAGGTCCCTGCGTATGCAAACGAGTATGTAAATTATACAATATAATATTTTGATTGTTTCTGTACAATGAAATAAGATACTTCCAATCATAAAGTATTGGAGATTTATAAGCAATATATCAGTAGTTAAAATATTAGAGCAGAACTGGGCAAACCCAGCTTCAAATCCTCTGTCAGTAATAGAAGACTTTGAACCAGTCATTTTTCTCAATCAAACCTGACTCCCAAGATTGGAAATAGAATTGCTATGTATTCACTTGGAACTTGTGGAGAAACTGCAGGATATAAATGTACATATTTCTGAATGAATAAATAAATAAAATAAATCCTAGTTGAAGGTAAATATTTGGGGACTTAATCTTTGAGTTTACCAGTGCAACAATAAAATATTAGCACAATTAATTGATGCTTCATTGGAAGGCTGACCCAATGTAATCAACTGGGTTCTTAAAATTCATGTAATCCTTACTACATGTCAGATTTATAAAGAATAAACATTATTAGCTTAATTTAGTGTAGAATACTGTGTTAATATAGGTTTTGCATTAAGGTGAAAATAACTTAATGCAACTCTGTTCATTTGTAATCCCTGATGTCATTTCAAATTAAAGTAATGGTATATTTTTATTATTTAATTTATTTTAACAGTGGAACGAGTTGAAAGAGACAACCTGTCAGAATATTGTGTTCTTGGTCAACGTCCCATGCACTTACCGAATATCAACCAACTGGCAACTTTGGGCAAAACAAATGAACAATCTCCTCATGGTCAAATTCACCACAGTACTCCAATCAGAAACCAAGTGCCAACATTACAACCAATCATGAGCCCTGGTCTTCTTACACCTCAACTCAGCCCACAACTAGTAAGGCAGCAAATAGCAATGGCCCATTTGATAAACCAGCAGATTGCAGTGAGTCGACTCCTGGCTCATCAGCACCCACAGGCAATTAATCAACAGTTTCTAAATCATCCACCTATCCCTAGAACAATCAAACCAGAACCAACAAACTCATCAGTGGAAGTCTCTCCAGATATCGACCAGCAAGTCAGGGATGAGCTGAAGAGGGCCAGTGTCTCCCAGGCGGTCTTTGCAAGAGTGGCTTTCAATCGCACCCAGGTATCGTATTTTATTTATTTAACAAGCATTTTATTCAATTTTTCTGTTAAAAAAAGGCTTTTTAAAAATCACCTCAAAAAGATAATCTCTGTCATCTGGTTTTCACTTTAAATGACATGGAACAAATGGAAAATAAAGGAAGAAGACACTTCTCAACAATTTTATTCCATTTCCTTACTCCATCTTGCAAAATTGGAACAATGCATTAAAAAAACCCCAACCATTGTATAACATTTCACAAGACTATGATATAGTGCCTTCTGTCCTTTTATTTTTTTTATATAAAACTTGTATTTTTATGCTGTAGAAACTGGATCTAAATGATTGAGAAAAGATGGAAGAGATTGTTTAGATTTCTTTCTTTCATCTCCCTTTAGAAACTTACAGAAAAACAATGATCCCAGAAATATATTTTTGAACTTAATCTGTTAAATTCTTAATAAAGCCAGAGAATCAGACCATTATCTATTTAGTGCATATATTTGAATTTTTGTCATTTGCAATTTATTAATCTATTAATTTTGTAATAATTTCCTACCAAATGAATAAATTTTAACAAAAACATTATGGCCATTTACTTCCCAAAATTCAAACTAGATTATTATTCACCACATTATGTATAGTTATTTTTGTCTAGGGAACCCAAGGATGTTGTTTAGATTTAATAGTACCTAATATGTCTCCCCCTGGTTCATTAAAGTTCAAATCACCTTTTCCCTTAAAGACAAAATGTCTGCTTTTTTCTGCTTGATGAAAAGCAGGCTGCATGGGTATATTTGAGATAGAAGCAAACAAACAAGCAGGAAAATTACATCCCTATAATTTACTTCAACTTCTTGTTCTGACTACGCACAGAAGCATATTTAACTTTGGATTTTTAAAATATCGCAAGAATGCATGAACTATAAATTTTTGTGACTTCTTTTTCAGCAGTACCTTTTAATTATGGAGCATTTTGGGGAGCCAGTAACATTGTTTGCCAGATAGACAATAATGAGAACCATATTTGTTAGTCTTCAGACGGTATTACCAATATGGTGAATTTAAGCACCATAATACTTATACACTCATTCATGAATTACTTCCACAGAACCTGAAAATTAGAAAAACAAATTAATGGATGAAATCCTCTCATTTTAGTATCATGAGTCTCTGAGTTTGCTGATTTTGGAATTTAATTTGGTCTTGGGAACTTTTTGTTATGATTGAATGTTTTAAATATTTCCCGTAAAAATTATACAATTGTTTTATTATTATCTTCCATTGAGAAGACAGCAGTGTATATAATAATGTAATAGTAACATGAAATATTTTGAGTCCTGTGGTTACATTATACATAATATAATATGTAATAGCTGCTTTCCTAAGAAAAGTAACTCTGGGGAGATTGTTTTCTTTTTAATCTGCTAGAGTTTCAAATATATGAATGCAATAATTAAAATGAGCCAGATATTATTGTCTTCTTTTTATAATCTTCCTGCATTTTTTCCCATCCTTTTTTCATTTTGTTCTTTCCTCCCAAAAAATTTGTAAACGGGAACGATGAAGAGTTCTACAGTACCTTTTGCTTGGTAATGGTAGAAGTTGAGAAGTATTGTCTGAACATGAGAGGGAAACAAAGAGACCAATGTGGAGCAGAGTTGTCAGATAGGAAAGGATTTAAGTGTTTATGTGAAAACAGTTTGATGTACTTTCATTTCATTTCTACTTTCAACATTTTTCCAAAGAAAGGACATGGGAAGTTTGTATAGGTTTGCTCATGAAATGCATAGTTCTGTTTTGATACATGGATATTGAACACTTTGGACATTATGGTACACAATATAAATATGAATGTGAAATTCAGTTTTACATAATAGTGCACCATAATTTCTTTCTTGAAGCTCAGACCATTATAAGAGTAGAGTAGTGAAGCAAAGGTGGAGATTTTATCTTGTACTAAAATTCATTTAATGAATTTTTGGGGCACTGCCACATTGGAAATTCCATATTGTATGGCAATTAAATAAACTAGCAGCATATTTTCAATACTTTATTTCTGCTATTAGAATTATAAGATGGCTGTATCTAGTAAAACAAATGTCCTTTTAATCAACATGATTATATTTTTCAAGCTGGCAGAATATACAAGTATATGATTTTATTTTTTTAATGTTCTTTTAGTTTGAAAAAGTATTTCATTCTCTTGGATCATAACCTATTATGCATTTATGTATGTATATAGATATTGTTCTATTTCACCTTCTATAAAACCAAATATAATAAATGTAGACAAAATGTATACAATGACATATTTTGAAGTTGACCCAAAAGGTACGCAGTTACATTTGTAGATCTTATAATATTGTCATTAAATATATCGTTGTATGTTTTACACTGTAGCTTCTAAATCTGCATAGACATACTTTTCAACATACAGCATATTGTTCTTTAATATTTGATTTGAAGAACTCTTTTCCTTGATAAGTGACTGAACTAGTCAGCTATTTGGAACATTTTTTGTCTTTGCCACAGAAGCTTAGGCCTCATTTACAATATTTTTAGTGTGGAATCATAGAAGCAATATGTTATTATGGGTGTAATGATTCCCTTTAAAAGAAAATGTTTTTTTAATTGTTGTGGCTAATGATTAAGTAATACCTCTTTCTGAAATTAAATTTCAGAGATACATTTTACAAAAACTGTTGGAATATATTATCCCAGCAAGTTATGGAAGAGAGGGAGAGAGAAAAAAGAAACAGATATCTAAATAAAAATTGAAATTTTCATAATAAATAATAGAAAGGATCCAAAATATTCAAAGAATCTAACAGAATTCCCTCTTTCAAAATACATTACAAATAATAAGCATTGTGATTTTGTAAAATAAAGCCAACTTGGAATACAACTGGGATTCAGAGAACCCACTGGCTATGCTTGGACAATATAGCTGATACATTCTATCAATATCCAAGTATAAGGACATACTCTGTACCAGTATCCCACTATTTGGGATGTAACAGTTAAACAGGAAGTGACTATGTTTGACACACTATCTCTTCCTGCTGTTTTGTTTTGAAAAATGGCAATGATCTACTGGCATCACTTCAAAAAGTGTTTCCCAAAAGTACCGCAAAATGGATAAAAGTGTTCTTTTTTCTTTCTGTAATGATACATGTACTCATTACCCAGTCATAAAAAGGACATTTAAATAAGATCCGATAAGCCAGGGTATCAAACTGCCGGCCCGTGGGCCGGACGCATCATGCGGAAGCCGTGCCCACCCCACTGCCAGCAATGGCAAAACTGTCCCGATATGTTGCGCAACATCACGTGATGTCGCGAGTTTGACCTGTCTGCGATAAGCAGTAAAAAAGATTTTCTAATAAGTGTTTTGGGGTAATGGAGGAAAAAGTTTGGGAAGTACTGACTTTAAAGAAAGCTTTCTTCCTCTATTTTGTATCCTCCCCCTCACATACTCAAGGGAAGAGGAAAAAGTAAAAGACTAATCCTAGTTTTGGGACCATTTTAGACTTCATTTCTGTGCTGACAGTAGTTAACTCTTTTACCTTCATTGATGTAGCATAATTGATTAAGGGGAGCATAGTTTAACCTCATACAACCCCATTGTTAAATTACCTTTTAACCTTCCTTACAGTCCAGTTAAGCAATTCATAAAAACCATTCAACCATTTTTTTCCTATCTATTTTTAAATTGGGAAAATCTGCTAAAGAGAAAAAGACGGAAGGGCTATAAGGTGCCTTTTCCCTGGTAATATTAGGGCTTTCTATCTGGAAGTATCCTTGCCTAAAATGCAGAAATATAGCACTAGGATATTGTATTGGATCGAGTTTGCATACCAAGATAAACATTAACAGTAAACAACAGTTTGGCACATTCAGTTGAGGAACCTGTTAAAACATCAGGAGAGATACAGAAATTTGAAGTTACACAATTGCAGAAAAGTTGTAAAAAAAAAGATAAGGATGTTTAGTTGCCAGACTCATGAATATTAGCATATATAGAGAAAAAATTCACTTAATAACTGGGTTACTAACTTATGAGCTGCAATGATTCACTTAACAACTGTGACAAGAAAGGTCTTAAAATGGAGCAAAACTCAACAAATGTCTCACTTAAGAACAAAAATTTTAGGCTTAATTGAGGTCATAAGTCGAGGATTATCTGTATATATTTATATATACTTATTATAGCATTAAATAATCTGTATTATTGGTTTTAGCAATATTGTTGCATCTATTAATTCTATGTTTGGTCTTTTGAAAATTGCAATTTGAAATATTCAAAAAATTTACTGTGGAAGAGAACCTCAACAATAACTTGATAGAAAGGTAAAATATGAATAATTCAAATAAATAATTATTTACTATCTGAAATAGAAGTGAGATTTGATCTCATTTGTTTATATTGTTTCAGGCACGCTTCATTTATTCATTAGATTTATATTCCACCTTTTGTACTGGAGCTTAAGGAGGCATACATAGGGCTTCCTTCTGTTTATCTGCATTCAGCAGCCCTTTGAGATTTATTTATCATATTTTTTAAAGTTATGCTTGCTTCCATTAGTATGTGTCTGTATGTGTGTGTGTATAAATGTTACAAATTATACCCCTGCACATTTCCATATTTTGCTTCTGTAGAAATCTTTGGCAGAAATGCATTCTAAAGTTTCTGGAGGATTTACACTCAGATTTTATAGCTGAGCTGAAATGAACCTGATTAAAATGTTGGGTTTGTACACTCTGCTTTTCATCCATCACAAAACATCAGTTGGGGAAGAATGGGGCATTTCTCCTGGATTTTCACTTCTTACAAAGCAGATATCATCATTTAAAAATACACAGTGGTAATCTTTTAAATAAGACAGGAGATTATAAGGGATGAAAATTAATAGCATCAGGTGAAAATAATTGAAGTTAAAATTCTAAGCAAATGTAGGGACTTTTTGGAATGGTGAACACATTTGAATGCTGAGAGAAAGTTGTAGATGCTTTCATAG